AGTGTTAACATCACAATCAATCTAGAAAAAACTACTTACATTGAAAGTGCTCGGTTTCGCGTTTATTCGCCAGTTATAATATTTGAAGCAAATGTCCGTCAACACTCTATCATAAGCGTCCTTCTGAAGTTGCTTACAATTAAATCAGTCAAAAATATTCGGAGTATAAGCTAGACTGAACACTTATAGAGAGCGTCTTTTAGGATGATGAAAAATATTACGTCAGCTTCCTTCAGCTCGCCGAGCTGCTGAGCTTCCATTCCAAACACTTTCGTCGCAGAACTCGAGAACATAGTTACCCATATAGAGCCGGAGAGATCGGTGATCTCGGCCTAAAATGTGAATTCAGCTATCACTTCAACTGATTCTCACCAGTTCAGCGCAAAACAAGTTTTAAATGACTAAGTTCAAATCAAATGCAAAAATCAAGTTTAGTAGTAATCCATAGAAGCACAGATTCACACAAACAATTCTCATCTGAGGTTTTTCATGCGAGATTGGGGACAGAAGAAAATGATTCCGATGATAAGTTCGCCGCTTCGCAGAAACAATCCAGCTAGCTATGGTGCAGATGAAAGGAATCATGAGGTACAATCTTTTACATTTTAGAAAGGCAGCCCCTCAGATCCCTTTCGCAACTAGCAATGCACGTGGAGTGTTCTTGCATTTTTTCGCATATGTTTTCTGTCAGAAAATTGAATCTACAAGAAGAGTGGATCAGTACGTTTTTAAAATGACCCACCTGAACCATGTACCTCCATTTGAATGAATCACTTGTCGTGTCACATTTCTCACACCTGTACTGATCAACGCCGAGTTGAACAACTTTTTTGGAGCATCCCTCGTTACCGCAACCCTGAAATTTATGGATTACCCCTTCCGTTTGCTAAAGCAGGGTATCACTCTCTAAGTGCTCTACATGAGTATCTCAACGAGTATGTTATGTTGAGCCTTATGTTGAACTTGCCTGATAGAGGGCGTTATCGGTCTTTATCGTGGTAATCATTGCTTTGAAATTCATGTAACGTCCGTTCGCAAGATTCGGTTCATTTCCCAATTGCAGAGCCGCAGCAGTACCGATGAAACGTAAATCACGACCTAAGTGAGAAGATAGAGTTCAAGCGAAGAGCGAAAAGGTTTTTCGAAGAAGTAAACCCATACCAAACGAATCGCCCCCTCCTGACGCTGTCATGCTGATCGTCTTCGTGTCTACCGATGACCGCTCGGTTGTATACCATTCATATAACTTCGGAACCTCATCAAGCTGAGGACTTAGCTCGATTTTTGAACCAGAAGAGAGTGCCAAACTGAACGCTCCTTAACGGATAAGAACTTTTCCAGGACTTTTTCCATGTGAGGAAAACTTTCCTCCGTTGAGAGAAAATGCCAAAGGCTTACCATTCCACTCTTTCACCAGAGCTCCTTTCACAGAAATGACCTGCCCAAGTGCATGTTCATCAAAATTCTCGGCTTGGTCGCCCCAAAGCGTAAGTTGTGCTACAGTTCCCGTCTGATCAATCAATTGAAGGTCACGTTTCACACAGTCCCGACCTTGTTTCGAAATGAACTGAAATCCAAATTCTCAATAGCGACCACGACTATCCGCACAAAACGAATCAATTACCCTGTTGACCGGCTCCATCTTATCGACAACTGCTAAAACATCAACAACTTCGTCCTTGTGACTTGGTATATTTTGTAGAGGACATATCTTGAGTACCAACGCCGGTTTTGGAATTTGGTCGTGGCATGGCGTAATCTGCATCAATTTTATTACGATTAGTGCAAACGACGATTGAAGAGAAGCATCCAAAAATGTTTTGTCATTTCATGACACTTCAATTTTAGCTTCAGAAAATGTAACCTGAGTGAAGGAAGACAATCTGAATAGTTACCTACCTCTGTGCTGGAATTAATAGATAGTTCATAATCATGGCCAGTAGTATTGAAGCGCTTGTTCGCTTGTTTCACTGTGCCACCAGCAATATAGTACGACTAAAAAAAAANAAAAAAAAATAGATGAATTTTTTGTTGCCTCAAACTATGTATGTTATGAAAAACGTACACAATCGGTCTGGATGATGCTATACGCTCTTTCGGCTGCGTCATTAAAGCCAGTAATCCGTATCGAAGCACCATCCTTATCCGTCAATTCAAAACTGAACACCTAAAACGAAATCGATCAACACGAAATTTCTGCCATTAAAGCTATTCATCCAGGCGACATTGAGGGCCATCTCCTACACCAAACTATGTGAATCCGCTAATGAGCCAAGTTTACTAGAACGAATTCCTGATTACAAGTACTGACCTTCATGTCGCCGGCACCACTTCGAGCCTTTGTAGTTTTCAGCTCGTCTTTAGCTGTACATAATCCGCAGATCCTCCATTTGCTTATGTAAGGAGTAATCATACTGATCGGTGTTGTGTTGCCAGATCCAAAACTTTGCGGTTGTCGACGGGGAGCTGATGGACGTGCAACTTCTTAAGAAAACATCAAATAAGAGGGGCACTTATTAAAACAAATTTCGTATCAAAAAGAGTAACATTTCTTATCAGATTCAGAGCAAAAATACCAAATTATTCGGTGATCAGATCACGCAATCAATGCCAGCTAGAAAGGGATTCATATGAAAAAAAAACTCACGTGCAGCCCCATTAGAGTCGGGTAAACTCGGATTTTTCCATGGAACAGAATACACTTCCGTAGATTTGAATGTTGAGAATTTATCCTTAATCGATACCTGTCATCTCAAAGCAATTGGTAGTACCGTTACTTTTTTTAGTTGGAAGAAAAACATCTGTCACCTGTTAACCAAGCCACAAACGATTTTCAAAAAACAGGTGAATAGTCACCCAAAACCTTGTGAGTTATCGAAACCCTCGAAAACTTTGTGTTCGAAGTTTACCGCTCGAAATAGTCATTAAGGTTTTTTTTGAAAAGTTTAGCGTTTAGATTTAGAGCAAAAGACCCTATAGAGATAGACGATTACACAACGTCGCAGAACACCTACCTTGTCACCATCGTGACTCACGCCTGGAGACAATATAGGGTGTCCTCTTGAAAGTAATTCGTATCCAGCGATCATTAGCATGGGTTTCCTGCAGAAATATTATACTTAAAGAAATTTACCTTTGTGATCACGTTATACGTTAAAATGAAGATAGAAACAGTAGTGTCAAGAGATATTACCCTTGAGCGTTATCTTTCTTCCCCACACATCCTGTAGGATTGATGTACATTTTAGTGACCGCGATTATTTCACCACCATTCTCAGCATTGCCGACCAAATTGTCTCGATCGCATTGGCTCTCCAAGCTGCTGACCACGAAAAGACCTTAACGTTATCAGTAAGAAGTATCTTGAAACTGTGTCTACTCTGCATGACTTAAAACTGATCAGACCGATCGGTTTAGTTTAAAAAATAAACTTAGAATTTGTTTTCAAGCGAATTTGATCGGATGAAAAAAGTTATTTATATCGAAAAGCGTAACCCGGTGGGTCGCCGAAACGAAGTCGCAGTCAAAACCCTAAAGTTCTAATTTATAGAAGAAAGAAATCCTAAAACGACATCCAAGGCCGCCCCGCCGCGAATCCTCACGAATTGGCCGCGCCGGCGTATCCCGAATACACCAGCTTGAAAAACTGTGATGAATGATTCAACAAAGAAGGATGACGTTTCAAAGAACTTCAGTGAATTCTTAATAACTTCAACCTAATATGTTAGTTAATTGTCTTTACTTTTCTTTACTTTACTATTCCCACCGCGACTTCGGTTGCTTGGATGCAACTTACATCTAAATCTCTTGTCTAACACTGAGGAATGAATAAAGACAATTTTCAAACCAATACTTGAGAAGGATGAATCTGATGTAGCAAACGGACAATGGAAATCGCTACAACCTACCGGAATAATGGAATGCTCCATCGGTCAGGCGCAATCTTAGACACGATTCAGGCCAACCAGCCATTCCTTCTGTCAGCTTCCTGGCTAGCTGAAGTATTTGTAAATAATAAACCACTGAAGGCTAAAATAAGTAAGGAATACTGACCGACACTTGAAGAATCGGAATTTCCGTTGTCGTACCGTCGCTTTCGAAATACCGCTGAAAAAAAGCTCAATAGTTGGGGCTACAATATTTTCGCGTTCGTGAACAGTTCAACCAAACCTGAAAAAAGCCGGTAGAAAGCTGAAGCGTGCCATTGACTCCGTACTTGCGATACTGTGCGGGTGTGACCTTGACTGGAGATGACATTTCTGCAAAAAAGATATGTTTTAATTCTCAAATAGTGCCACTTATAAGATGAACAGCCCGTATAGAACTAAAATATAGAAAAGGGTAGAAGCTTCTGAATAAAAAGTTCCAATCGACCAATCGATGTGCTGTCGAAGGTAAAAGACATGAAAGGAGTGAAGATATTCTCTACTTTCGAAACGAGATTCTGTTCAATAGAAAAGCAGTAGAGAAAACAAATATTTTGTAGAGTGAGCGTTTTGCTTCAAACAGTCGGGCCAAAAATTTTTCAACTGCCCAGACACCTAACAGTCGACTAATATCATTCAAAAAAGCCATAAAAGGCATGTTTGGGGTGTTGTGATGTGTTTGTGATTGTTAAGAAAATTACGTCATAAAACGTCACTAATACTCCTATAAAACGAATAGGAACTATGTAAATGGCTAATAACTCGGAATACATTATAAACCTGGCCAATAACAACTCATAATATCCATTACTCGAGGAAAAAATCGACGGCAATTAAAAGATGCATGGAAAACGTATGAAGTCGCGGACGCGTATCAGTACGCCCCTGCAACGATCCAATTCAAACCGCCAGATTTCCCGCCCGATGCGGTAAACCAGCGCGAAAAAACGTGCCGCTACTTCGTACTGGAGGCCGATTTCCATTCCATTGTGGGGTGATTGAATTCGTCGTTATCTTTAGAGGATACACTGGAATCCACTTTACTAAATGACCAATGCAACCTGCAGTTGCTGTCCACCAGTATGTAAAGCTTACTCCTGTTAAATGGGATTTGAAGTTTGAAAAGGTTCCGTACATTCACGGCCTTTGGAGCAAAAACAATATATAACAACATGTACTTAATATCCATTCAGGAGTTGGAACACCACAGCTTTTTAATTGAGAACTTCAATAATGATCTTGCCAAGAAGTTCCTTGGTCCCCTACTATATTGCTTTACTGCAAAAAAGGAAGTAAACAAGTCGTTATTTTTCTTTGTCAGCACAACAACGGAGTTTTGGTGAAGGCTTCGCAACGACTTCAACGATGTTTACTTCGTATCGAAAGCTGCATTTACACGCTGTGTAACTACATCCTGTGAGCCATTACCGTATTCTACGCCTAAATTTAATCGAGTGTTGTAAAACGCGCTATGCATCGCTATCATAACTCACAGGAACGAAAATTCAGTCCGGCACTCGGTTCTTACAGTAANNNNTCATAACTCTTGGTTACTGTTTTGGGCTAGTCATGTGCTTATGCTTCTGTGATAGCGCTTACGGAATTGCTGGGCCATATTGAAAGTGTGCCATTCAAATACAAAAGTAATCAGCGCTTTAATTGTGGTTTTGCATGTATGACTTAGTTTCCTGGGGTATATAAGTGAGATGTTCATTTCGGGGTAACCGTCGTCTTTCAGAATCGAAATATGAGGTCGTCATGTATTCACTTACTAGATTGGAACTGCATGTTGAAGTAATTGAATTTCGGTCAGGTTGATTGATTTACTTAGCTTCAGGGTTCAGGGTCCCGCAATTCCCAATCCAGGGTCCAGCAATTTCATCGTAGATTTGATCTTGGCACTTCATGTTCATGTTACCACTTTGCCTCATTCAAGCAGCTGCGATGAAGTGAGGAGGAGTCGTGAACATTCACGAAGACTTAGGACGAGCACCCTACTCCTACAGTAACCCGATCTGTCTATGGGTCCAGGCTCGAACACGTGTGTAGCAAACGATCAGCGCATCTTTAACCAACCGACCCATTGGTTGCTTTTTTTTTTGATACATCGCTCATGTGATGGGAATAGGATATATGCATGGGNGGGATAACGACAGCCATGTCCTAGAATGAACCTTGGCATGGTGAAGTCCGCATTGTAACGGAGCTTCAAGTTCACTGTAGAGATCAGATTGTTGCCTTTGATACTCGTGATGATTCTTACACGCTACCGATCATCCTCACTTACATATCCACTTCATGATGTTTTTTTTTCGTGTCGACAAAATCGCCCTTCAGATTGCTGTAACCTTGACCAGGGTCACCACTAGACTGTTACAAGCATAGCTATGCACCTGATGTACATTTTCTCAATTCACTCACTCAAGCAATACTTTCTCGAGCAACCTGCCAGAAAGGAAAACTACTTGCAAAGTCACAGAATACAGTACAGTACACAAAACAACCAGGATGCATACAAGCTGTCTCCACTGTAGTCTGACTAGTGCTTTGTACTAGTACTAAGCAGTTTGGCTTATTGCTTTAGATTCTGTAGTTGGTATGAACAATAGTCCGATTACGGTAAGAAATTGAACCCATGCCAATATTTCACCGTATTCACCCATAATTCATCAATGGCTTACTGTTTCAGGTAGGCTTACGACACTTCCTCACCTGCTAAATACAAGAATTGCCATTATTAAAACATTTATTACAATAAACATTGAAGAAATCTGCGCTTAACAATAAATAGCTTCGGGATCGTACATGACACACTAACCAGCAACAAAAAAGAAAGTCAAAAGAAAACCAAACGATGCTGATTAATTTAGCATTTTCACGCCAACTAATTGTGAGTGATGAAGCCAGTGACGATCACAGCAGCCAAGATTTAACAAAAAGAAAAAAAAACTGTCAGGAAAAGAAAAGAATTTTTTTCAATGTCGTGCTGATGTGATTGAATATGGCACGAGATGCGAAAACGCGGCAAGAAACTGATATCAAACACATTTTAGGTGTTTAGGTGTTTAGCAAGATAGAACATCCTATTCAAGAATGAAACATGATGAAAATGAGCCCAATTTTGACAAAAAATAATAAAAGAATACACGTAAAGCTTTAGACATGTACGGACGATTTCGCGGTATCAAGCGAATATTGAGAAAAATGAAAAACAGACAGGATCGTTCACTTGGATTAAAATACGTTAGCGTGACTGCCGCAAAAGCAGAGTTAAAAGCGCATAGCAAAAGAACGTTAGCTTCATATTTGATTGGAGTTTTTAATATTTAGAAAAAGCCATTGTAACTAGAAAGTCCATACATGCTTCGAAGGACGAATACGCGCACAGCATAGCAATATCAAACTACTGCAAAATAAAATAGAGCAAAAACACTAAACTCAAACTCGATAAAAATCATAAAACTGTTGAATTCTATGTTGAGACATCTGGCAACCACATGAAGAAAATGTACGTCGTAATGCTATATGTAAACGGTAAGGTATGCAAAATATCGGGACTACAGCTTCTAAAAAACAACTAGATTTCTCTACAGAAGAAAGATTTAGAAAAAAACAACATAGACTGAGCATAGAAGTATAGAACGCTATCACATAAGAAATAGTGGGATGTGTTGTTATGAAATAGATAGATGCTCCAAAGAAAAAAAAAAANGAAACATATTCCACATAATTTAAAGCGAACGACCATCACGACGAAATGATTCGTGGTTGATAGATTTGAGGAACTGGAAAATCGCTCACTCATGAACGAGCTTGTCACATTGACAACCAATTTTTGAAATAATCAATCTTACCATGACCCTCTTGGAACATTTTCCACCGTTGGGCCAACATTTCAACCATGCACATATGGTGACTGTTTGATGGAGGTGCATCCACAGGCGACGATGCCATTCCTTTGGCAAAATGCACAGTTTTTCCGCCAAGGTTCAGCACAAAAGCGCCCTCGGGCGTTGCTCCGTTGTCCGCTAAAATGATACAAATAAACAAAGTAGGGAACAACTAAAGAACACAATCAGAGTAGTATATTCTGGAGAGTATAAGAGGTGAGAAACTATAGACTTCGAGGAGAACACAGGTGGCACCGTCACGACGTGAAGCGAACTGGAAATGGCGCAACAAGGACTCAAATTTGGGAACTTTATCCTTCAGTGACAACGATTCCCAATCTCTGAGCCCTACAGCCCTATACCTAGATATCACTTCCCCTGACAAGACCACACACAATCTCCTCAAAGATAATAATTCCTATATCTGTTTACACTGCAGTACCAATCTGTTCGTGAAATTTTTATAGGCCCCATCGAGCCCATACTCACCTTCATTCTGATTTTCTTCTAGAGCAGCTTCAGTCTCATCATAGAAAAAGGACAGCCCATCAGCAGCACCAGAAGCTCCTGCTGACACATTTGCACATGGTAACACTGAACATTTACCTTTTTATTAAAAGAAAATCCAGCTATTAGTGACTAATATTCTATGATGCCCACCTTCAGTGTCACTCGTTTCCACTGGGCGTGAAACTGGGGCTGGTGTCGTCGGCGCTGGTGATTCAGACTTTCCTGATGGTGACGCAACGGCAACACAGGCAGGCGAGTTGTCACGACCTATAAGAGAGCTTTTAGTCACAATCTTGATTTAGCCTTTTCTAATAGAAAAACAAGGTAACAACAAGCTGTCTTTGTTGATTGAATTACAGCTGCTTTATGAGATCGAGATATACAAAAAAAGGTAATCTGCCCTGAGTATCAGCCATTCATGCCAAAAAAAGAAAAAGTGATAAATGGGAGGACAAGGAAAATAGCGCAACGTGAAGGATTGTGACATTGATGTCTCCAAAAACAACAGTAGACTGACTGCAGTAAAAAGAAAAGAGAGATGCAAGGTTAGCAAAAAAGAATTTTGAAGAATAACCGTAAAGTACCGACTTTCCAGAAAAAGTGATCTCTTCAAATGACAAAAAAGTATTAAAAGTGTGGCAACAGTTGGATAAACATGTCAGACTAAAGGTAGAAAAATCGTAAAAAAACAAAGTAACTTACTTGGTTCCGATGACTTCTTGGCCGCATCTGCATATGAGAAAGTACGTTCAGGTGAGTCACTGGTAGGGTTTTGTGAAGCAGATTTCGACATCTGAAAATGACTCACAATCTCCGCCAACAACATCAGGAACACATCAGTATGACTGAATGCTATCCGGCGGAAGGCATAAATGAAACAACCCCGAACAATGCATGGGAACAAAAGTCCGAGAGAATGCTGAAACCTTGGCGCGCTACGCCTAATTGGAAGAAATAGTTCGCTAATAGAATAAAATTTGATGAAAAGGTCCGAAGGGAAGGATTTTTCAAAGCAGTATGAATTCTATGAAATGAGATTGCTGTCCACGATACAATGCATAAATTCATCCTCAAAACCGGTTTAGAACTGGTAGAGGCGACCGTTCAGCTGCTAATGAGGTCTAAAGAGGATCCTATGCCTGCTAAATTCCATTTTCGGCGCAGAATAGAATGAATTGAGCAATAGCTTCGCCATATGTCAAGGGCTGCGCTTTTCGCATTCTCTGGCCTCAGTCTCACTTGCCGATGCTTGGAACCAGTGTTTGAGTTGTGATATTAAATCCAATTATGAAGCTTAGAGAGATGAGCCCTGCGTTGAATCGCTGTTCCCCGCAATTTTCCACTGCGCCCGGCGGATATAAGAAATAGCCCATCCTAAAGTACTTTACACCCCCCTTTGGAATACTATCTTTCCTTCCGAACGTTTTTACGTTCCTACGTGAACATCCAGATCTTTAGGGCATAAGCAAAGCCCTGAGGACCGGGATGGAGCTTTTCCCGGACTGGAGGAGGAGGACGATTCCTAATAAAATTAACACCGCAATATCCACTATATCGCATTATCGTGATCTCATGCATCTGCAAAAGTCCAATTTAGCCGATGTTCATTCCCTTCCCAACTGGAAAGAAGTGCAGAGCATAAGTGAGCTATGCGCCATCTCAGCAACGAGAAAAGGAATATCTACTCTTTCATACTGCAGATGCACGATGTCGCGAGAAAATCATCATTCACAGACGTATCAACTTAGAAAAATTAACCTCGAGAACCGTCAAATAAAGCACACGCTGCCCTCACAGTTCATGGTAGGCGCCTTGCCCCGCTACCGGGGTCTCAACGCATGAGATGCAAGCGTGCGGCAATCGATACGCATGCGTATATATGCATGTATAAGCAACAAAATACGAAACACACGATCATTAATCATTCTGCAGTCGACCGATTATTCCTCGGAATAA